TCTTCTGACAGGACAAACAAGCTCTTAACTCTGACGTTTTTTTTTCTGTTTTTTTTCTGTTCCACTCTGTTTTATTACACATGTGCAAGGTTCAAAGATCGTTTTGTCCATGCGTTGTGGTGGTGGGCCTGCCAGTATAAAAACCACAGGCAGACGCTTGAGGACTATCACTCTTGACTAGCTCTTCAACACACAGTGCCGTAGAGAAAGTCTAAACATGAATGCTGTGATGGATACATTGCACGGGTTTGGAGTGAGTAGCACCCAATACCTGCAGACCCATTACAAAGACGTCCAAGGATGGTTTCTTTTCGTCTCCTTTGCGGCAGATCTGAGGAACACCTTCTTCATCTTCTTTCCCATCTGGTTCCATCTGAAAGAATCAGTCGGGATCAAGCTCATCTGGGTGGCTGTGATAGGAGACTGGCTCAATCTGGTCTTCAAATGGTAAGCAAATGGACCAACAAAGAGTTTACAGTCAAATTAAATCATGAATTGAATTTTAATGTTGTTCCATTCATCTATTTAAGGATCCTGTTTGGAGAACGTCCATACTGGTGGGTCCATGAGACTTCCTACTACATCAACAGCTCAACGCCGCATATTGAGCAGTATCCCATGACCTGTGAGACCGGCCCAGGTGCGTATTTCTCATCTAGAAGTACCACACTAGTCCATTTAAAACCTGTTTTATCATACATCAAAAGAGCACTTTGATCACTTAGCTGCTTCTTGATGCAGGAAGCCCGTCTGGTCACGCTATGGGTGCTGCTGGTGTTTACTACACATTGGTCACCTCAATCCTCGCCATAATGCTGAGCAAAGAGAAGAAATCCTCACCTAAGAGCCTGTAAGCCAATCTTTATCACTATTAGGTCATTTTTACATTGTGTTTGTTTTAAAATAGATAGTTGCTTCTGCAATATGTTTATGATGTACTATCTGTTTTTTAATCAGATACTTGCGTGGTTCACTTTGGACACTCTTCTGGACGGTCCAGGTCTGTGTTTGTCTCTCTCGGGTCTTCATCGCCGCTCATTTCCCCCATCAAGTTTTCGCAGGAGTTATTTCAGGTAAACAGCTCAACAAATCGTCATTTACTCTTAAAAAAATAAAGGTTCCTAAAGGGGGTTTTCATTAATCAAAGCATCCTAAAAATATACGTATCATGGTTTCCACAAAAATATCAAGTAGCAAAAACATTTTTTCAACATAGATAATAAGAACCATTATAATATAAATTCATTAAAATTCATTAATTGAGCACCAGCAATAACTGATAATAACTGATCAGCAAATCAGCATATTAGAATGATTTCTGAAGGATCA